AAAAAAAAAAAAAAAAAAAAAAAAAAAAGCTGGGCTCCGATGAAGTACAAGATGCCCAAGGGCAAGGTCCTACTTATCTCGTATGTCATCTACTTGACGCCTTCGATTGATAGCATCAGCTCATACATTGATTGACAGCCCATGGAACTATCCGTACTTCATCTCTCTTATTCCTTTGGCTGGTGCCTTCGCTGCTGGATGCACTGCTGTCCTCAAGCCATCGGAGCATGCGCCGACCGTCTCGCAGGCGTTGGCCGACCTCATCCCCCGGTACCTCGACACCGACGCTGTCTCTGTTGTCCAGGGTGGGCCTGAGACCGTCACCCAACTTCTTGACATGCGTTGGGATCACATCATGTTCACCGGCGGTACTCGCATCGGCCGCATCGTCGCACAAGCTGCTGCGAAGTACATGACTCCTATCACTCTCGAGCTTGGTGGAAAGTGCCCTGTGATCATCGATGAAAGTACGAACATCGAACTTGCGGCTAGGCGTATCCTATACGGCCGGCAGAACAACGCCGGACAGGTGAGTGCTATCGCACATACGGATTAGTCACGCGCTTAGATTCAATACCCCGACAGGTCTGCGTCTGCCCTGACTATGTTCTGGTACCTCGTCACCTGCAAGATGCCTTGATTGATGCGCTGCTCAAACATGCCCGCGAGTTCTGGCCGAACGGCTCGTACGTACTATACTTGTCTTTCTCCTGGCCTAATGAATGTTATCTGACAAGTTGACGTCCACAGGATCAACTCGGAAGACTTGGGCTTGATCATCAATAAGGCACACCATAAGCGCCTGACTGACTTGCTCGCCCAGTCCAAGGGGACTATTGTTTTAGGTGGCGAGACCAAAGGGGAGCGCAAGCTGGCCATGACCGTATTGCGCGACGTCAAACCAGACGACGCGCTCATGCAAGAGTAAGTCTTGTTTTACGGCTACCAATCTACGTCTAGATGTTGACTGGTCCCCGCATGTAGCGAGATCTTCGGCCCCGTCATCCCCGTCTTGCCCGTCGAGAACAACGACGAGGCTGTCAGGATCATCAACTCTCTACCCATTCCTCTCGCGGTCTACCTGTTCAGCGAAGACGAATCGGTCAAGAACAAGAGTGTGTCACATGTCTCCTCGTACCGTGCGGCAATAGACTGACTATTTCGTAGTCTTGATGGAGACGGAAAGCGGAACACTCGTCATGAATGACACTTATCAGCAGGTATGCATATACGACTCATCTATATGTTGGGCATGAACTCACAGGCTCTCGCAGCTGGCTGTCCAGCAGCTTCCGTTTGGCGGTAAAGGCGATTCAGGTGGTGAGTCGGCCACACTCCAAAGTGCTTCGCTTGTTTGCTCACGTCAACACAGATGGCAAGTACTTCGGCAAGGCCACTTACGACCTCTTCACGCACATCCGTTCCTTCGTGAACATCAACCTAGCGTAAGTTGCCTTGACCATAGTACACGAAACAAAGCAAATGCTGACTCCACGTGAACAGCTCCGAGCCAATGTTCAAAGCCCGCTACCCCCCCTTCACGCAGGAGGCATACGACGCGTTGAAGGTGTTTGGCTTGGGGAAGACTGTTCCGGCAGCATGAGGAATCTCGGTGTACACACAGACGGATTACACATAACAACACACGCTGTACCGCGTATTATACCCTGTACCGTACATCTCGGACGATAAAGCTAGAGGTTGACATTGTGCACATACAATGGATCTATATGGTATATGAAGAAGCATTACAATGGGTCCATCACGAAAGCGTTACACCTTAGCAGTTGAAGGGGTGGCTATACTCTCCAGCTGCGTACTATCGAAAGGTGAGTAATATGCAGAGTAACTGAGCGACGCTGCACTCACATTATCCGCGATTCCCTTGATAGCCGAGTACATACCCAAAACCATAATGACCATTGAGAAGAGAATCTGAGGGATGATCAGCACGCGCACTCAGAACTTGGGGCATCAGTTCACGTACGACAAAGATGCTCAGGAGCATTTCTCCCCGAGCACGTTTATTGCCAAAGAAACCGATACCGCCGTTGGCAGCTCCCTCAGGACCCTTCGAGCTGTGGTCATGCAGCCAAAGGACACCAGAGAGGCCGTAGGTGAACCAAACCGTCAAGATAGACGAGATGATACTGAGGAGGTCGGAGAAGAACTGCGTAGGGCACGCATCAGTCTTGACCGCTTTCGGAACGCATGTGCGGGAAACGCACGGGGATTAGCTCAGCGATGAGCCAGCCGACCGTCCAAATGGCTATGCAGATGCACACCCAGACGGCCCAGGTGCGCTTGCTGTTCGAGGTGAGGCGGGTGGTCCCGCGGAACATCGTAGTGTAGATGAACTTCGCGCCGACGTAGGAGGCAACGACTCCCGAGATGATGATGGAGACGAGAGCGATGGAGCTATATGCAGATATGAGAACATGTTATAACGCACGAAGAGACATGAACGCACTATGCGGTGATGCGAACAGGCTTGGATGTCATGGTCAGCGCAGGTGAGCTGACATACTGCCCTCCGAAGCGGTAGATCACGGCGCCAACAATCACACTACATGCTCGATCAGGTCACGAATCTTACACAAGAACGAAGACACGCACTAGCAGATAGTCGCCACGATTTGGACAAGGGCCAGGGACTTCGTGAAGTCAGCGGGGTTGCGCATTTCCGCCGCGAAGGAGAAGATGGCGACGTGACCACTACATTCAGTCAGCAATATGATCGTGGGGGAAAGTGCGTCAATACACACCCGTAAGCAAAAATAATGTTCGTCAAGGCTATTGCAACTTCGGTCAGCTTCAGTAGAAAATAACGCGCAGATAATCACGTACCATTGACTGTGCTGATAAGTCCAAGGTTCTCAAACGCCTTCCACTCAACGGGACCAGAGGCAGGGAAGTCGGGAAGATCCTCCTGGCGCTGAACTCCAGTAGCGACGATCGTGATCATGCAGGCAGTGAGGATACATGTCACAGACACGAACGAGATGTAAGAGACTTTCTCAAATGTGCGAGGGATGGCGAGGCTGCATGTTCTGTGAGTTTCAAAAACCCGGTTAAGGCTTTGCAGAAGACGTACAGGAAGGAAACGATCGCGATGATAGCAGCCCAGGCGATATTGCAGATAGCATGTGATGAGATGCTGTTGAGAGCAATGCTGCCGGAAAGCGCGTGCGAGCCAGCAAGGAAGGTTGTCTGTATGCGCCGTGAGCCCTCCTGATAGACTACGCGAATGACGAGATCCTGACCTTGACCATGAGCATTCCACCGAAGAGATAGAAGCCAAAGTTTCCGAAGACAACATGCCCTGCGTCAGCAAAGTTGAGAACGCCGGGGTCTGCGGGGTGTTTAGTTAACCCCCTGGTGACGACTAAGCAGTGCTTATGCTCACGGTTTGCCTTGAAGCGCACGAGTACATAGCCAGTGTACCAAGATAATAATGCGAGCATGACAGTCGTAAAGACACCGCCGAACATCCCGAGGCGATGGAAGACTAGGGGGAAGCTGAGGATGCCGAGGGCGATGGTCTACACGAGAGCTCAGTGCGTATTCGAACACTTAATGGGAACCCGCGTACCTCAGCCATGAGCAAGGCCCCTGCTTTGATCCAACCCATGTTCTTGTAGTTGATGTGCGACTCGTCGCTCGCAACACCATCCAACGGGTCGACCTCATCCCGGTCGTCGATATGGACTGGCACTTTATCCTTCATCATCGCCTTCTCGGCCGCGCCGAGGTCGCTCGATCTGGGGGACGACATTGCGAATGAAGACACAAGGGAAGGTTGCTAGCAGATGATAGGTGGAGTTCCTAGGACTGCAGCTGGGGCGGCGACCGTCGATTGTGGTGGCAAGAGCAGAGATGCGCACGGCCGACGACCCCTCGGAGAAGTGCATCCACATGCCGGCAGGCAGAAAATGAGTTGAACAGGGTCTTGGCCGCGCCGGCGGTATACAGAGCGTTAGGACGCATCAAGTCTTGGCTCCTGTCGCGCCAGGTCGCGCCCCGTCCCGGCGAGGGTGCTCCTCAGCTCATTCTACACCCCAGTCATTCCCATAACCCCTCCCAGTGTAGCCAAAGAATATCGCCATAGGCCTCATACCAGAATATTCGATACTTCAGCGAGTCAAAGTTCCGCGCGGGCTAACGGAACAAAGTCCCTATGTTGGTCCAGCACCGAGATCGGCAGATGGCATCGGATCCCGATTCACGATTCAGAGTGCACCCGGAGCCGACGGCAAGTCAAGGCCCACGCGCTACAGCAGGCTGGACCGGAGAATAACGTTGGACAGAAGAAAGACCTCTCTGCAGAGGCGAGATACAGGCCATGATGCATGATGGGCGTTCAGGACGAGCAACGAAGATCGCCACCTATTTCAGGTATGGCGACTATGCGACCCTGCTATTGCACGCGGGACACGTGGGCGGGACCGATAAGTCCGACATCAATGTCGGCGATTAAGATAAGTCCATGCAAACAGTCCGTATACACATAGCAAGAAAGCGAGAGTCCGTAAACAAGATGATCGACAACAATGCATGCAAACGTGTATCCAAAGTAAATGCAGAGCAACTATGCCTTCTTCGACTCGCGCAAAGCGGCGCGCTTGACGTCGCTTTGCCACTTGAAAAAGTCACATTTATATTGGTGGTCGACTTCCTCACGAAGCCGCTCACCCCGACCTTTGTCATACCCTGGCCCGACCGGTCTGAAATAGAACACGATAAGTACGCAGCACCTCTGACGGATATAATGGTAGGTCCATACCTTGAACAAACGTAGAAGACCTTGCCCTTATTGGGACCTGGCTTGTTGACGCGAAACTCTTTCGCGACCTCGCCGTGCACGTGGCACTTGGGCGGCTGTACAGGAGCAAAAAGACTCGACCAAGCCTCCTTGCCCTGCGACGATGTTGAGCCCTGAGAGCTAGGTAAGTGCTCGGCATCTTGTGTGGCAGCAAGTTCCAAAGCCAGCTTGTAATCCGCGTCCTGTTGCGAGGATGCCAACGCATCGACGTCCAGAACCTCAGCGTCAGGAGGCGGCGAGGATGCAGGCTTCGAGAAGAAGGATGATAGTTTAACTTGTCCATTCTTCGCCTTCTTCGCCTTCGACGACGACGCCGCGATCGGCTCTTCTCGCGTGCGTTTTCGAGTCCCTGGTCGAAGTCCTTGGGAGGCCGTAGGGGTAGAAGGGCTGGAGGGAGTAGCTTTCGACTGAGAAGGTATGGGTTCGGCCACACTGGCACGATCGGGCATCTGACTTGATACACCTTCCGATGCACCGGAAGATATGTCCGCGACAAGTATGTCTGATTGAGCAGCCGATGGTGCCGGTGTGGGCTCATCAATCGACTCAAGTGCCTCAAAAGCAGACGTCAATGCAGACTGTGTCGCGGCAGGACTGGATGGTGGGTCGCTCTTCACGGAGGAAGTCCCTGGCGTACTGGGAACCCGTGCTGAGGGCTTCGGTTTCGTGAAGAAACTCGACATGAGCGTCTGCTTTCCTTGGAGCTCAGGCCAGTTCTTACTCGCGATGCGTGGAGTCTCTGAGCGACCGTCGTCCATGTGCATAGCGTGCCGAAGAGTGACTTTCTCGCCGGACTCAAGAGTGATTTCATCGTGCAAGTCAATGAATACCGGACAATGGTCTGATCCCTTGATAGACGGTTGGATATCGCTATGCTTTATCCAAGGTAACAGGCCCTTTGTAACCAGAAAGTAGTCGATGCGTGTCCCGTAGTTGGTCGCCCTTGCCATGATCTTTTGATTCCAACCTGAGCGTCAACACGTACATTAGCATACGGTGAAAGTTCAGGAGGTATTGAAAGTACATACAGGTATACATGCCCTTACGATCAGGCCAGAACCGACGGGTAACATCAACCATGGGCCCGTGAGGTTCGAGCCAGTCTCGTAACCACTTGCGGGCAGGGTGGTCCCAGAATGTGGCAGCGTTACTCGGCAGGTGACCGTCGCAATGATCGATGGGTTGAGAACATATGTTGATATCACCGGTCACGATGACCTCGCGCCCGTCGGCCACAAGTTTCTTTACGCGTTCCTCGAGCATGTAGTGATAGTTCATCTTGAAAGGCAGACGAGCGTCGTCAGTCTCATTAGGACAGTAGAGGTTAACCAAGACGAACAGCCCGAAATCGACGACTAGAGCGCGACCTTCGGAGTCCAGACCGAGAAGATCAGATGGAGTCTCCCCTTCGAGTGAAGGCATGAGGTCCATTTCGTGTGCTAGAGGGTATGCTGTTGAGATGCGCTCCTCGGGACGCAACGCAGGCTTGGGCTGAATTCTCCCAGATAGACCCTCTTCCGCTCTTATAGGTAATGCTGTAGCGGGGTTGATGTATACAGCAACGCCGCTGTAACCTCCGCGTGACGTAGGAAAGGAGAAGAACGCGTCGAATGAGTCGGGAAGAGCAAAGTTACGGCCGATGGCGGCGCGTGTAGTCTTCATCTCTAAGCACCAATCAGAATGTGGTGTAGATAAACAGAGAAGGTTGCGTACCTTGAAAGCATATTATGTCTGCTCCCAGCTCCTTCAACACACCGTCCCATGTCTTGAATGAATTCCAACTACGCGGACATTAAATAGGGGCATAAACGGGCGCGACCATTCGTCCTGACATACGGGTGGTATTGTGGTACTGTTCGAACACCGTTCTGCAGTAGGAGTCAGTGGGAGTAGACAGTGCTATCGAATCGCAAACACACAATATTCCAGGTAAGAATGCGCATGGGTCCGGCAAGCAAGATGGACGTTCAGGGCAATTCAGACGCGTCGCATGCTGTCGCATGCAGTCGCGCGTTGTCACGTCTTCGCGCGCGTCGGCTTTAGCGTACTTTAGCGCCGTCAGTGCAAAAGCCGAAACGCGCGGAGAACTTCTCTCGACACAACCATCTTCCCCCAGCCTCTCTCGTCCTCTTCATACAATGGGTCGCTTACGCCGTTCACGAACGCATCATGCTCAGAGAGATGTAAAACGTGCCTCTCGGACCCGTGCACGCACAAAAGATCTCGACCAAATTCAGCTGATAGACCTGGACCCAAAAGTGCGTTTGAACAGTCTTCACACTGCATACCGATCTGGACTGAGCTCCCACCGTAGAATCGCGCACGACTTGAAGCACAAGAGATTGATTATGAAAAGCCTGGCTTGGCGCAACATTACTGTGTAGAGTGTGCGAAGTACGTTCAAGGAACTCAACATCACACTTGCAATTTGCCCCTAACTTCTGACTGAACTCTAGATATTTTGAGACGGACCAAGCACTCTCCACACACTGGCGATCAAAAGTCCATAAGCGACGCTGCAAACAGCTTCGTGAGCCGGCGTATACGATTGAGGAGGCCGAAAAGGCGGCTGGTTTGGGACGGGACGACCGACGAGCGGTCAGCAAACCAGACGGATTGGGGTCAAGCACGCCTGATCTTGTGATGGAAGTACAGGCGTAGGAGCAATCCCGAACGGCAACCGCCTGTACTGTGGCCTGAGGGACGTTACCGTGGGATCTGCATCAGGCATAGCATGTCCGGCCTGCGGACGGGGTTTTGCTCGTCTCGCTGTTTCGGCTTTTCAATGCAACATTGCAAGGGCCGCTTATGTATCACCAGGCCCATGTCGCATTCTCGCATTCACTCGCAATGTACAAGCCCATGTCCAGATCATGTCTGCGGTTGCCTTCAGTGAACCCAATTCACGTCAGTCTTTCATCGGTCTGAACGCCCCGATCCTTGTATCTCGCACCGCGAACGTGACATGGCATATAGGTACTTGCGACAACTCTATGTCCTGCGAATCTATTGTTTCTTATGCTACACATGTTTTTCTATTGCGCACTCCGTGGAGCCATCCTACATAGCGCTGCGTTCAGTTGAACACGTCTCCTGTACCATCGGGAGGCACGTACGCCCATGTCTGGATAGCGTCACGGCGAGCTTGATCCACATGCGCCCACGTAGTCCATTCCCGAGAGTCATCAACATACGCAAGACTGGGAAGATGGCCCCAAAGCATAAGCTTGTATTTCTCTTCCTCGAGGCGCTGGCGGTCGCGGACACATGCAAAACAACATTGAGGGTCGGTCTGACCACGTAGATTATCCGTGGGGTTGTTCGCGAAGACGTCAATCTTGCTGTCCATATATGCGACCAGGATACGTCGTGCAGTCGTAGGATCGATGCCATTGCATCCGACGCTGGCCGGCGTCTTCACGCATTTCCCGTCGAACACGAAGTACTCCGAGGTAAGAACATCGTTGGTGATACGATCGGCGAGCTCCTCCTTGAACGATAACACGTTCTTTATCTCGGACTCCAGGTCGAGGTGATGCAGTTCGGCGAATATGTATTGGGCCTCGTGCAACGAGCAAAGATACATGGCGCAAGGAATGAGCGAGGGAAGGTCGAACTGGATTGCGATCTTGAGGCCTCGGAAGCATTCCTCGTGCGGCGTGGAAGGATTCCTGCGATAGTCTTGCAGCGAGGTCGGAAATAGCGTCTCAAGATGCTGGACTATCACGGTGCGAACGTGATAAACCATGTACTTCGAGGCAAGGTGCAGCACACCCTCAATCTCAGCAAGAGTGAAGTCATTGAGATTCTGCCCGTAACTATGATGGACGTGAACAGATGGAAATGCGTGTAGCTCGCCTGGGAACCTACCTTCTTTCGTAGAGCATCCGCAAAAGGTTGTTCATGGAGAAAGAGTCATCCGGAAGACGTACAATCGGACAACCTTCGAACGAGTCCTCGCGCGCAAGGTGCTGAGGCTGACCGGCAGAGAACATGTCCTTGAACACAGAAGAGTTCAGACACAATACGCTCTCGTTGATGCGGAAGCCCATCTTCAGATCCGGGGAACCAGTGCAGACGATCACCACCGTCCCATCGTCGAACCACAGATGCGGACTTTCGGTGAACCCAGCTTCGTTAAGCTTAGGCCATTCTGGATCTTCAAGATGCGCAACCGGATCGAACCACGACATGGGTCTGAAGCGCGTAGTGATGGTGGTGGCGAGAGCGAAGATATTGGGTTACCAAATTGGGAGTGGACGGGAGCCACGTGTGACGCCTGATTTACAGGATCAGGCACCGTGAGGATCTTATCGTTGCAAATCTTTGCTCGAACTTTTGTCTACACCACCATGTCGGCGCCTATCGGTGAGCTTGTATGCAATGGTAGATTGTGCACCTGCCAACCTGAACTGTACCAGCACTACTGTCGGTGTACGACAAGACCGGACTCTTGGAGCTTGCCCAGGAGCTCTCCGGAGCAGGTGTGCGTCTCCTTGGTTCGGGAGGAACCGCAAAGAAAATCCGCGATGCCGGAATTGCAATCGAGTGCGTAAAGATCCATGCTATGTGCTACTAGTCTTTGAGATGTACTAGAGATGTCTCCGACATCACGAAGGCACCTGAGATGCTGGGTGGTCGCGTGAAGACGCTTCATCCCGCTGTCCACGGGGGTAAGCTATGTTCGCACAAGCCCGACTTCGTACACTAAGTCTCTTCAGGCATCCTCGCTCGTAATATCGACAGTGATCAGAAGGATCTTGCCGCTCAGGGCATCGCCCCAATCTCCATTGTTGTGTGCAACCTCTATCCCTTCACCTCTACAATCGCGAAGCCGGATTGCACCCTCGCCGATGCTGTTGAGGAGATTGACATTGGAGGTGTGACGCTTCTGCGTGCAGCCGCAAAGAACCATGCCCGCGTGTCTATCCTGTCTGACCCCTCCGACTACGCCGAGTTCGTCGCCGCCTGGAAGAAGGGGAACGGCGACGTCGGCCAAGCGTTGCGCAGCCAACTCGCTTTGAAGGCGTTTGAGATGACGGCCGAGTACGACGGCGCAATCAGCGGTTACTTCCGTGAACAGTACGCGGACGCGAACGGCGGAGACAAGCTTGTGGCGCCCGTTCAGCGTGTGGCTCTCCGTTACGGCGCGAACCCGCATCAAAAGCCTGCGCAAGCGTTCGTCACTGAGGGTGAACTTCCGTTCAAAGGTCAGATCCAGCGAATAACCTCATGCACCTTTAGCTAATCTCTATGCCACAGCTCTTTGCGGATCACCGGGGTACATCAATCTTCTGGACGCCCTCAACTCCTGGGCCCTCGTGAAGGAGTTGCAAGAGGCGCTGAACCTTCCGGCGGCTGCCTCCTTCAAGCACGTCTCTCCCGCCGGAGCTGCCGTCGGCCTTGAGCTCAGTGATGTCGAGAAGAAGGTGTACGGTGTAGATGATCTCAAGGAGCCGCTGACTCCTCTTGCGTCGGCGTACGCGCGGGCACGCGGAGCGGACCGCATGTCATCCTTTGGCGACTTCATCGCGCTTTCTGCGCCCTGCGATCTTGCCACCGCTAAGATCATCTCTCGGGAGGTATCTGACGGTGTCATCGCACCCGGATACGCCCCTGAGGCTCTCGATGTTCTATCGAAGAAGAAGGGCGGGAAGTACTGCGTTTTGCAGGTGCATGCGCATACATACTCTTGCCCGAGCACATCTGACCTCAACCTCGAAGATTGACCCTAAGTACACGCCATCCGAGGTTGAGACCCGCCAGGTGTATGGCATCTCCTTGCAGCAGCGCCGAAACGACGCGAAGATCACCCCCGCTTTGTTCTCGAGCCTCGTCACCCAGAACAAGGAACTCCCTGAGCCCGCGGTCATCGACCTCATTGTCGCCACACTGGCGTTGAAGTACACGCAGTCGAACTCGGTCGCATATGCCTACCACGGATCCATCATCGGGCTCGGCGCCGGTCAACAATCCCGCATTCACTGCACGCGCCTTGCCGGCTCGAAGGCCGACAACTGGTGGCTTCGTCACCACCCTCGCGTTCTTGCCCTTCCTTTCAAGAAGGGTGTTAAGCGCGCGGAGAAGGCGAACGCCATCGACCTGTTCGTCGGTGGTGAGGTCTTAGAGGGCGGCGAGAAGGCACAGTGGGAGTCCATGTTCGAACAGGTGCCCGAGCCGCTTTCTGCCGAGGAGCGCGCCAGCCACGCGAAGCAGCTCACCGGCGTTGCTTGCTCGAGTGATGCCTTCTTCCCTTTCCCCGACAACGTTCACCGCGCACGCAAGAGCGGTGTCACGTACCTTGCCGCACCCTCGGGAAGCGTCATGGATGCCGAGTGCATCAAGGCTGCCGACGAGCACAGGATGGTGTTTGCCCACACCTCGCTGCGCCTCTTCCACCATTAATGAGGCTTCGAGGAGCTGAATCAGGATGTAGCATAGAGAAAATGTACCCATAGCGCATGGCGTGTACACTCAACTGTATTCGTACCAGACGGAAGGATAGCGCCATCCGTAAAATGTTTATATGTCCATTTATTCCGATAACACTTGGAAGTGCCACGCTCGAGTTATCATCCCACGGCGCTTTCCTGTACTCAGAACCTGCTTCGTGCCACAACCAGGCGGGTATGTGCACCCACATATGGTCATCCAGATGCTCGCGAAGATGTCCCTTAGCGTGGATACCACCCCCGGAAATGTAGTACTGTCTGCGCCGTCGAGCACAAGCTGACCCGACGGGCGCCTCGTCATGTCTTCGCCCAACGGAAGGACTTCTCGCCGCACAACGACGCACCTGCCAGTGGACTTCCGATCGCACCGTATCGCATCTCACTACATCCATGATGTTATGCTCGTATGAGCGGAGAGATTTGCCGCGGGTGTATACGAGGACGTATCCACTGGACCCTGGGACAAGCCGGCCCCGTCGCGCTCACACTGTTCTCCGTCGGAACGAATGCAAAGCGCCCGCGCACTGGGAGCGGCTCGTATAACTATAGCCTCTATCGAGATACTGGAAAAGCTACAACCACATCCCTTTCAGCTCTCTTCTACCTCAACGATGGTCTCTCTCGCGCTCGAGGTGCTCGTTGCGGCGGCCATATTCATCGCCGGCCAGATCCTCTACGGCTTCATCAGGAACGTCGTCCGAGGATACGCGTCCCCCATCAATTCGCTTCCTGGTCCTAAGCGCGCATCCCTATTACGCGGCAACTTCCCTGACAGGGCCGAGCCGAATGCTCAGCGTGAAGTTCAAGGCTGGTTCGAGAAGTACGGACGCGCAATTCGCACCTACTCGTTCTTCGGGGTATGTGCCGATTCCTTTATGCTTTGAGCTCTCGGTACTGATGATATTGGCAACAGGCGCAGAAGGTCAGCATCCTCGACACGCGGGCAATTCAGCATGTTCTCGGGCACGGGTATCTTTACCAGAAGTCTGACCAACTGAGGAATCATCTTGGATCGCTTGTCGGCCAGGGACTATTGTTTGTTGAGGGTATGATATTCCTTTGCTGTGTCAGATTGGAACTTGACGGTTGACTTTTTTGACCCTATAGGTGAGGATCACAAGAGACAGCGTAAGGTTGTCAACCCGGCTTTCGGCCCTGCGCAAGTCCGTCGGTTCACGGAGACTTTCATCTCAAAGTCGATCGAGGTTCGTCCATCTACGGGGAACAGTATACAGAGGGTTGGTGAAGCTAACACCGTACAGCTCCGCGATGTCCTGAACAATCTCTCGAGTCAAAGTACGCGCAAGGATGGCCGCATCCGCATTGACGCGTTTGCCTGGCTCAACAAGGTCACTCTGGACATCATCGGTTTGACTGGTTTCGCATACGACTTCGACGCGCTGCACTCGGATGAGGCGCATCCCAACGAGCTGTATGAGGCGATTAGCCGGGCCTTGGCTGTGCCCCGTAGCTTCCTGGCTTTCCTCGCTCTCATCACGCCCGTTCTGCGTCTACTCGTGCGTCTTGCCCTGACATTTTTGTCTATATCCTATTGATGGTCCCCGCGTAGCCCGCCCCTGGCACGAAGGCTCGTCAAGCGAATCTGGCTGTCATCAACAAGGTCGGCACGCGCATGATTCAGGAGAAGAAGGCCGCGATCTTCGCTGCCAGTGCGGACGGGAACATCGAGAAGGAGGACCTCGTTGGGAACGACCTGTTGACACTGCTTATCCGTGCCAACCTCGCCTCGAACATGCCCGAGAGCATGCGGATGTCGGATGAAGAGATTCTCGCACAGGTAAGTACCTCGCTCGTCGTCCTGTACATGCGCTGACCATGCTCGTCCACTCTCGATAGGTGCCAACTTTCTTGATCGCCGGTAAGACTTGAGTGCCTTGTGTGTCGTGGAAGCTGGCGCTGACTGAACATATAGGCCACGAAACGACGAGCACACTCCTTACATGGACGCTCTTCGCGCTCACCACGTCTATCGAGACGCAATCCCGCCTCCGCGCCGAAGTCCGCGCCTTCCACTCCGACGAGCCCACTCTCGAAGACCTGAACAGCCTTCCCTACCTCGACGCCGTCATCCGCGAGACCCTCCGCCTCTACGCCCCAGTCTCATCTACCCACCGCGAAGTCACAGCAGACGACATCATCCCGCTCGCCGAACCGGTCCTGGACAAGTACGGGCGCGTGCTTACGGAGATCAAGGTCAAGAAGGGCGACATGGTCGCGATACCGATCAGGATTATGAATAGGGCGACGTACATCTGGGGTGATGACGCGGAGGAGTTCAGGCCGGAGAGGTTCCTTGAGACGTTGCCGGAGAAGGTTGGGCATATGCCCGGGATATACCCCCAGCTGCTCACTTTCCTTGCGGGACCGCATGCTTGCATTGGATTCCGGTTCGCCATCGCAGGTCAGCCTGAACTCTCATCATATCTTCTTACTCGTGATGCTGATGGCTCTTTGCAGAGGCGAAAGCTATCCTCTTCACTCTGGCGCGTAACTTCGAGTTCGAGCTCGGTGTCGCGCCGGATGAGATCACGCGCAAGACACATATTGTTGGACGGCCGTACATCGATGGCAAGGAGGGCGCACGGGCACAATTGCCCATCGTCATCAAGCCAATCAGGGATTGAGGTTTGCCGCGTTCGTCGCTGAGCGTGTTCTCCCGTCTTATTTATACGCTATTGCAATGCAAGTTCATCACTTTATCGGACTCACACTCATTGTTACACCCGCGTATCATACTTGCTGTCTTCATCTTGGGACTATTTCGTTTTCTCTGACAGGTTTACACGTCGCTCTCTCACATGTCGTTTTGTACAGTATCAGCAGAATAGACGCATCTGTCGCACTCTTGCGCTGAATGCCCCCAAGCTAAGGATGCAAGCTCGAGCCCAGGTAGTATGCAGGAGTAAGTAAAGTGTGCAACGTCAACAGTTCAGAGTCTACCAGGCAACCTCGCTCCACCCGTCAACCTAATAGTCTCCCCGTTCACATACGAGCACCCCACGATGTACATGACCGTCTGAGCAAACTCGTGCGCTGTACCCAATCGCTTGGGAAAGACAAGCTCCCGCACCAGGCTCGACTGCGTCTTTGCCGACATACGATCCGTCATGGCGCTGGTAAACGCTGCGGGCGCGATCGTCATGACGCGGATACCGTGTCGGCCGAGGTCGCGTGCGAGGGGGAGGGTCATGGATACGAGACCGCCTTTGGAGGCTGAGTAGGCTGCTTGGCCGGGTTGACCCTCAAACTGTATTGAGATCAGTGGAGGTCAGGGAGAGGAAGGCGGTATGCGTACAGCAGCAGAACTGGCAACCATGATCACAACACCGCGTTCGCCGTCGGGGCCCTCAGGAGTGACATGAACCAGATGTTTGCAGATCAACCGGGAGAGGTTGAATGTTCCTGTCAAGTTGACGTCGAGCGCGAACTGCCAGAGGTCGAGCGAGTGCGGCTCGTTGTCTGCGCCGATGATCTATAGTCACAGCTCAGGTTTACTTCGCCGAAGTGAATATAATAGTGCATACCTTTGCAGCAGTACCAACTCCAGCACAGTTGACCACGCCTCCGAGCGTCGCGCCTGTTTCTTTAGACCATGCCACGACCTGCTCCACAACGGCCTCGACAACTTCGGGCTTGGTAACGTCCAGCTCCCAGAACTTCGAGCGCGAGCCAAGATCGCTCCGAGGAGGGTTCAAATCGCATACAGCAACATGTGCTCCGGCTTCAAGGAGATGCTGTACGGCCGCCAACCCCAGGCCGCTCGACCTGGCGCCACAAGTTCAGTTGCCAAGCTCGTTTTTGAAATCAGACAGAGGGAGGCATCTCACCCACCAGACACGACGAACGTCCTGTTAGCCGCCTTCATGGTCGTCGTCGTGAAAGCGTGCCGGTTGCGCAGACCATGAGCTCACTAGTCTTCGCGAAGCCCGAGGGGCCAGCTGGAACAAACAGCTGAAAGTGCGACGCTGAGCCCGCTAATAACGCCTGAAATGGGATGGGGCTTCGCGGGATAGGGGCACTTCGGCGGTCGGGCCGAGGAGGACGCATCATCGACGTGAGCTGTAACTTTCTCTCTGGTCGCGCGTCTACATCGACTCATTCACTTCCGACTTCGACTACTATCTAGGCGATGCTGCCCTCACGATTGTTCAAGAACACTGGTGTACCACACCGCTTGCGCAGCTTGCTTACTCTCTCGCCGAACCTCCCGCCAAATGTTGCTGTCCAACTTCGCTTCAGGCTAGGCGTCATCCGGCCGAACTCTTCGCTCGCTTCCCCACCACCCCCACCCCCATCTTCTACATCTACATCTGCACCAGAAGTCGGAGCACCATCAACCTCTGCGGGAGATGCTGGTGCAACTACGACGACGAACAAGATTCGGCTCGAGCAGCCCGAGCCGAGGTTGTCGCTGACGTTCACATGCACTGTAACGGACTGTGGGCATCGGTCCACGCATGAATTCTCGAAGAGGTCATATACGAGTGGGATCGTGCTGGTTGAGTGCCCAGGATGCAAGAACAGGTATGCTTGTCGGTGGCATTGCATCGTAGGATGGCATGCTTACTCAGCGCGCTCAGACATCTTATCGCGGACCACCTCGGCTGGTTTAAGGAGAGCACGAAGGATGGAAAGATGAGGACCGTTGAGGACATAGTCAGGGACAAGGGCGAGACCGTACGCCGCGGGATTATGGGTGCCAACGGCGACATCGAGTACGCGCCGGACCCTTGAGAGGTGCCACATCATCGCGTGGGAGGCAAAGCAAATGACAGCATTGCATTATGGTACTACATGGAAGGGGATAATCTATGCGAAAGCATGCGGGTAGCAGAGTGGTGATATGGAGGGGGAAGTAGGATGTGATGGATCATGACGAGGCGACTTCTTTCTCGGCTGCTTCGCCCTCGATCTTGGGGATCACGTTGTTCTTCTCCAGTAACTCCTCGAGCTCGCCTGACTGGTGCACTATACGGAGATTAATAATTAGACATATTATACTAGACGTACACAGTAATGGAATGGAATACGCACTACTCAACACGATGTCGCATCCGCCTACGAACTCGCCTCCGACGTACAGTTGCGGAACAGTGGGCCAGTCCCTATGTAACGTGTCAGCGTTAGCTTCTAACCGTTTCAACAGAGAATACGCACGAGAACTCCTTGATAGAGGTCCTCAGCTCCTGATCCTCCAGCACATTATACGTCGCCATCTTGTCCGGCTGCACCCCATGCAAGTCCAGCACCTGCACGACCGCGCGCGAGAAGCCGCATTGCGGGAACTGAGGCGTCCCCTTCATAAAGAGTACCAAAGGCTTGGCGTCGACGGCTTTTTGGATTGCTGCGCGGGCGTCGTTGGAGAGCAGGCGGCGGAGGAGGGTGGCGGATGTTGTCGGTGCGGCGCGGAAGGCCGGGCGGGCGAGGGATGCGATCTACTTATATGTCAACATAAAGTAGTTATATTAGGGCATTAAACGTACTGAGGCAAGCATGATGAGGCAGCGAGAGGCGAGGTGGTGGAGGTGCTGAGCCAGCGCTGGATCGGCTTCCGGGAATGTGAGAGGGGACCGACGTGATTGGTCACACGGTGACCACGCCATGCTCGCGCGCACTTTGACGCGACCTCCCCGCTTTTCGCTTCGGACGGCCATGTTTGAAGAGCTTCACTCATGCGAATACATGCATCGCCAAGGATATCATTTAACTGGGATGAGGGTAGTCTTAACGAGCAGTCGCACAGGTTGTGTGCCAGCATATAGTCAATGGAAAAAGCGGCGTGTGATTCAAGTTCACATTGCTAGCAAGTGACACGGTATTAGTGCACACGACTACGTGGCTGCGATGATACCTTCAGACTTATGCAGCTTCGTCTATGGACGCATACATCTGAGCATCATCACCTGAACCCCAGTCCACTCAAAATCAGAGACCCACCATCAAGGTAAGACTTGTCGCCAGTAGGTTACCTCCCCTCTTAGCTCACGTAGACAGCATCGGGAGAATGAGGTAGGGCACTGTAGCCTTCACTTCTTACGAATCAGCACCTAATCATTGCGAACGAAAGGCTAAAGCGCCCATAAAATGGGTGAAATACTCCGAAGCGCGTCTCTGCACGTGATCGCGTTTATTGCAACACGCGACGCGAACCTCCAGTCTCGAGAAGCCACATCTTTCTCTTGCACGCTCACATCGCTCCTCTCTCATGTCCAGAAACTCCAAACTAGCAGCTCTAGCAGAGCTCAAACGAACGCGAGAGGGTGGGAAGCGCCAATGGAAGGTAAAGTCGTGACTATATATTGACTGGGAATGTCGCTCAACACGACGCGTTCCATAGGGCGAGGCGGATGTTACGCTATACGACGAGGTGACAGAAGATCAGTACAAGTCGGTTGTCGCGGGTCGACTAGCGAAGGATGACTTTGTGGTCGACGATGGCGTTGATGGGTACATGGACAACGGGATGGACGACTTCGAGGAGCGGGACGCGTCTGAGGACGAGGAGGACGCCCGAAGATCTCGCAAAGGTGTGTACACGGTAACTAGCATATAAGACTTATCCCTTCTGATAAGTACCCCAGCATCGAAGAAGAAAGAGGCGGAAAAGGCTAAAGCCAAAGCGAAGCCCAAGCCGCCGCCACCCGCCGCGCCGTCGATCAGCGCGTACAGGCCGAAGAAGACGGAGGAACAGGAGGAGGACTTTCTCGCCAGCATCCTCGGCGGCCTCGACTCTGCGCCCGCAACAACCAAAGCATCATCCTCCTACGCATCACGTGCGCGAAAGCGGCGAGCGTCTCCCTCGCCCGAGCGCTACTCGTACCGCGAGAGCACCTATAATGACGCCTCCTCTGATGGCCCGCCCTCTGACGGCTTTGATCTTGGTCTTGATGCGGGCGCCTCTTCGGACGATAATATCTACGCCAGTCCGCGCAAGAAGCATAGGCCTGACCGTTCTGATGGGCCTACTACCGCCAAACTGGGCGCTATGCGCATGTCTTTGCCCGAGGATGAGGACGAGTACGACTCCGCATTTGCCCACGATGATATCAGCATGTTTATGGACGTTGACGACGAGTCAAAGCCCAAGCCTACGCCTGCGGCTAAACCCAAACCAGCACCAGCACCAGCAAAGAAGAAAGAAGACACTGGTCCACCGGCGTGGTTATCCGTCTACGACTCGCTTACAGTCGCACCTGACGAATCTTTCGGTTCCCTGCCATCCAGCTCCAAGTCCTCCGCTTCAATACAGAAAGCAGCCAACATCAAAGCGCTCCAAGACGATGGCTCCTTCCGCTTCTTCTGGATGGACTACCTCGAACACGACGGTGTCCTCTACTTCATCGGCAAAACGCGCGACGCCACGACAAACGCGTTCGTCTCATGCTGCGTCACAGTGCAGAACATGCAACGAAACCTATTCGTTCTGCCGAGAACGCAGCAGTTGGACGAGGATGGGAACGAGACGGATGTGGTGCCGGGATTGCCGGACGTGTATCAGGACTTTGACCAGGTTAGGCAGAAGGCGGGGATTAGGAAGTGGAAGGCGAAGTTTGTGGAGAGGAAGTATGCGTTTGGGGAGGAGGATGTGCCGAGGGATAGTACGAAGTGGATGAAGGTCGTATATGGTTTCAACGGTAAGTGTAGAAACACACTGCGCTCGACTGTCCATTGATCTTCGATGTATAGAGCCTGTTATCCCCTCGACAGTCTCCAGCCCGAACTTTTCCAAGGTCTTTGGCACGAACACCAACGCGTTTGAGCTGCTCGTGTTGAAGCGGAAGATCATGGGTCCGTGCTGGATCCAGATCAAGAACCCTCACGTTGAGCACAAAGGCGTAAGTGTTGTATGTCTGCCTCTCCACTACAGTGGCTGATAGTTGCACAGGTGTCTTGGTGCCAATACGAAGTTACAGTTGACGACCCCAAGGACTTCAACCCGTTCTCCGAGTCGGACGACGATGCGCCGAAAGAAGTGCCCCGTCTGACTATCGCTAGCTTGAGTATCCGAACCGTTGTCAATCATCAAGAGAATATCCGCGAGATCGTCTGCGCCTCCGCTCGTATCTGGTCCAACAGTACGTCCTAAAGCCTACGTGTATCATTGTCATACCAAAGACTAACATGTATGGATTCTTTAGTCAACATTGACGACCCGACTCCGCCCGAGTCCCTTCCCTGCACAGTACACACCTACGTCCGCCCATTAGAACGCTACCCGCCCAACTTCGAATCCCTCGCCAAATCGAACAAGAAAGGCGTCGTCCACGCGCTCTCCAACGAACGTACCCTCCTCGCTCACCTCCTCAACACCCTCCACAAAGCCGACCCAGACGTGATCGTCGGCCACGAGTTCCTCGGCGTCTCCCTCGACGTCCTCCTCCACCGCATGCGCGAGCTCAAAGTCGAGCACTGGTCCCGCATCGGCCGCTTCCGCCGCTCAAAATGGCCAGGCATCGGCCGCCAAGGAACAAACATGCGCTTCCTGAACGGCCGTCTCCTCTGCGACCTCGCCTCGGACGGCGCAAAGTCCATGATCGCGTCTACGACGTGGTCGTTGACGGAGATGTGCAAGACGCATTTGAAGATGGAGAGGCAGGATATCGATCCGGAGGATACGGCTGGATATTTCGATGGGGCGGTTAGTGAGCCGGAGAGGCTGATGATGTTTGTGAGGCATTGTGAGTTGGATGGGCATTATCAGATGGCGATTGCGAGTAAGGTGCAGATTCTGCCGTTGACGAGGCAGTTGACGAACCTTGCGGGCAACTCTTGGTATGTACTTGTTGCGGTTTCGACGGTTGTGCGATGCTCATGCGGATACAGGAACAAGACGCTCGGTGGTGGTCGCGCTGAGCGCAATGAATACATTCTCCTCCACGAGTTCCATCGCCTGAAGTACATCTGTCCGGACAAGTCCTGGGGCAAGAAGGCCGTCAAGGTCAAGGAGGATCCTGACGATGAGAACGAGCCTGGCACCGTCGTGACGAAATCGGGCAAGACGCGCAGGGACAAGTACAAGGGTGGTCTTGTATTCGAACCCAAGCGCGGACTGTGGGACCGGTATATCCTCGTCATGGACTTCAACTCGTTGTATCCGAGTATTATACAAGAGTATAATATCGATTTTACGACCGTTGAGAAGGTCGAGGACGAGGTACGCATCCTTCTCTATTCACTCAGAGATCCGAATGCTGAATGCTGACTTCCGGTTGTAGGATGGCGAAGAGAAGATCCCGGAACCGCCCTCGAAAGATGTCTCCCTCGGCGTTCTCCCGCGTCTCATCGCCACGCTCGTGAACCGCCGCAAGCAGGTCAAATCTCTCATGAAGGACCGCTCTCTCGATCCCGCGCGATACCTCCAATACAACATCAAGCAGCAGGCGCTCAAGCTCACTGCCAATTCCATGTACGGATGTCTCGGCTTTGAGCACTCGCGGTTCTACGCACGTCCGCTCGCGGCGTTGACGACGTTCAAGGGTCGTGAGATCTTGACGCATACGAGGGAGTTGGCTGAGAGTCTGCAGCTCGATGTACGTCATATCTCGCTGCTCATCTGTATGAGAGAATTCGACTGACTCATACGTCGCAGGTCGTGTACGGCGACACCGACTCCGTCTTCGTCAACTCGAACGTCACCGAACTCTCCGAAGCGATGAAGATCTCCAACGAGCTCAAGAAAGCCGTCAACGACCGCTACAAGCTCCTCGAGATCGACCTCGACGGCGTGTTCCAACGTCTCCTGCTCTTACAGAAGAAGAAATACGCGGCCATCAAAGTCGAAGACGGCGGGCGGTCGACTACGACGGAGGTTAAAGGTCTGGACATGAAGCGCCGCGAGTATTGTGCGCTTTCGAAGGCTGTCTCGCAGTTCGTGCTGGAGCAGATTTTGAGTGGAGAGCCGACGGAGATTGTCGTTGAGAATATCCATGAGTATCTCGAGGCGAAGGGCGAAGAGGTCCGGACGGGCAAGGTTCCGCTTGACGAATTCATCATCTTCAAGCGTCTGGGCAAGGCGCCGGAGGACTACCCCGATGCGAAGAGTCAGCCGCATGTGCAGGTCGCGCTCAGGATGAAGGCGCGCGGTGCGAGCGCCAGGGCTGGAGATGTTATCCCGTATATCTTCTGTGTGGATGAGGGTGGGGAGAGTAGTGGGAAGACGGCGCAGGCGGATCGGGCGAGGCATCCGGATGAGATCAGGAAGGCTACGGATACCAAGATCGGTAAGGGCACCTCTTCGCCACTGATCAAGCGTGTTTGTACTGACGACCTGCTCAGACTTCGAGTACTACCTCGCACATCAGGTTCTCCCGCCTATCGAGCGTCTCTGCGACCCGATCGAAGGCACCGACCGCGCACGGCTGGCAGAATGCCTCGGTCTTGACCCGGGGCGATACCGCCACAGCGTCTCCGGCGAAGGCGAAGACCGGTACATCGGCACGCTCGACTCGCAAATGTCCGACGAGCAACGGTACAAAGACTGCGACCCCCTCCTCATCCGGTGCCGCGGCTGCGGCGTATCTTCTCCCTTCGGACACATGACCGACGAGACGACATGCATGCTCAAAGCCTCCGGCGCGATCTGCCCCAAATGCGAAGGCCCCATCTCCGGACCGAGTATCGCTGCTCAGTTGGAGACGCAGATACGCGAGCATATATCGCAGTATTATCTTGGGTGGACGGTCTGTCTTGATTCGATATGCCAGAATCGCGCGCGGATGATGAGGGTGTATGGGGATCGGTGTTTGAAGTGCTCCAGTAAGGTTCGGTACGAGTATAATGATGGAATGCTGTATAATCAGCTGCGGTACTATGGTTACCTCTTCGACACGACGAAGGTCGGCAACTCCAGTACGTCGACTTCATTCTCCCATCTTCGATCTTCATGACTGACTATGCGGCACAGAGTTCGCAGAGGGCCTGGTGCTCACTCAGGGCGGCCTATTACGGAGGCTGGGTCAGACGGTCGAGAAGTACCTCGATATGAGTGGGCGGAGATGGGTGGACATGGGCAGCTTGTTCTCGTTCGCAACAAAGTTGTAGTTGTCTCGCTTTTGGTTTGCTTCGTTTGTATTTGTCTGGCCGCTCGCTATCGTATGTTTGTTCCTTTGTTTTCCGCGTGGCTCGTCTGTATACCATTTGCTGCATCGATTGATCGTGGAAAGCATTGAGAGCACCTCCTACAGAAGGCGGTAACCACTATCAAATTGGCGTGCAAAGTATATGCCTACTACGTAGGGGGCAAGCGTAATAGTCGTGATTATTATGGTGAACCAGAGGCCAGGGCATAATGTGTACCAGCCAGCAAGACGCGAGGAATGGGCGTATCAGGCCGGTATAGTACGTGAGGCGGGAATGTCTATGAGGTTGTTACTAAACGTCTATGGGAGATGAGTATGCGTGAGCTTCAGCGATGGTGCGCCTGAGCCTCCATGGCCTTCTGTGAGAACACGCTCTTGCTCCGGATCACTGGGCCGAAACGGTAGAGGACCTGCGCATGCCGCTGTCAATAGAGATTCACAATGCTGAAAGGAAGCATAGGCTCACGAAAGGGACCGGGATCATGAGCACAGCGATGCAGCCGAAGAGGGTGTTACCCCAATGGTATCCGAGCTTGTCGAACATCTGCGTCGTAAACAGAGGGAAGGCGAAACCCATCATATTCCGGAACAAGCTTTGCCCGGCGTTCGCGGAGCTGGCGTATGGTCCGTAGCTGCGCGAGACATGAGTACGTGAGCTAGGGAAGGGAGACGCCAGCCACATACCAGTCAGCTAGGTAGGTGAAGCTGCCCAGGTAGATCATGAACGTCGCCCACATGAAGAGCGTGAGACCGATGACCATCGCTAACCAATGAACGTTCTCGTAGGCGGTCCAAGCGTAGAGGAAGATGCCAATCGGGAAGAGGATGCCTGCGCCCATCGCCCAGTACAAACGCGCTTCCGGGCCATGCTTCGGAAAGTGCTTGCGATAGAGGCGCTCCTGGTGTATGTTGGACGCGACACCCAAGAATGAACCGACGCTGTAGAGAGGTATCAGTGATAGACGGCACGGGAGTTCCAGGCATGAACGTACACTAAAGCTGCGAACACGGTACCAACTTCGCCAGTGCCAAAGTGATGGACGGTGCGGAAGGCGGGCGCAACGGACTCGATGATGCAGTAAAGCACACCCCACGCAAAGCCGATCCAGCAACTGAAGCTTGTGACAACTGGCTCGGTGAAGAGCAAGACTAGAATGGCGATCAGCGAGAGTTCCGCATCCAAGCGCAAGAGACATAACGTACGGAGTGGCCGCGTCAAAGAGATGTACAGAAGGGTACGCAGACTCGGAAGTTCTTCCTCGGCGCGGGAACGATAGCGGTCATCGCCCGTTTCCTTGCGCAGCTTCTTCGCACGGCGAGTCAGGATGACAGGCGCCCGAGTCTCCTTCATCAGAGTGACTGCGAAGACAAAACAAAGCCCGGCGGCGCTATACAAAATGTTAGCACACAGGTGAGTTGCACCAGTGCGAGCGTACGCACATGATATGAATGTACTGGATCCACCTCCATTGAAGATGCGGATTAGCCTCGATCCATCCTGCCGCTACGGGACCCATTCCAGTTCCTGCGATCGCCGTCAAGGAGAACATGGCCATGGGCAAACCTCGCCTAGTTTCAAAGTTTCAAGCATCAGCATCACGATCTGCAAAGATAGGGCAGCACAACCTCGTACTCGCGGGGCAACCATATGTCGGCGATGGTTCCCGACACCATAGTTGAGCCAGTGGAACCAAAAGCGCCGCCTAAGAATCGTCCAAGGATGACGGTAGCGATATTGTCCGCGCTGAAGGATGTTGGTTCTCTGCACTCGAGCGGTAGGATATGCCATACCGTCCGACCATGACGTGCATGAGGGTGAAACCAAGCGATGAAGCCGCATATAACGGCCATCGACCCAGTTCCTCCGAAAATGGCGCGGAGAACAACGGGACGACGCCGAAGCCCAGCGGGTATACGCTCAGACCCAGCGTGGCAAGAATTTGCGAGCAGTTCAGGTCCTCGATCATAGAGGGCATTCCCGAAGAGTACGACGAAGCAGTGGCGGCGCTGATGGTGGTGAAGTAGCAGGCGACGAAAGTTATGATCCACTTCCGCGTGTTGGAGAAATGGATCGGATTCTTCGGGTCGCCATCTTCAAAGTCCACCTGTGAGATAGGTCAGACCTGGTGTCGCGATGCGAGAGGTGAGATGACATACATAGAGGACATCCGCATGCGCTTGCTTTTCCTTCTCGTCGAATGAGTCGCGCGTAGAGACCCGATCCTCAGCGCCCTTTTCAGTATCGTGGGCCCGGGCGTGCGAGTGAGCAGCATGGGGCTCAAGGTAGAACTCCGTATCGTCGCCTTGCTGTACGAGCGCTCAGTTCTGGAGGGCCCTTGTGGCGAAATTCGATACATACCTCGTCCACTGGCCGCGGCTCATCAGCCGAGCGCACTCGGAAACCCTCAAAAGAGGGCCGCGATTCGAGAATCGCGTTCTCTGCAACGGTCGCAGAGTCAGTGCTGTTGCGAGTCATGTCGTCGACAAGAGCACCGAAACCAAGAGGAGGCGCACAGTCAAGCCACAACGCCGTCGCAAGTTTATATCCGTGAGGAGGAAATACCTTGCGCCGGGCAGGGTCCAATAAACGGAGTCATGATCACCGTCACTCCGTCTCGGCCGAAAGAAGATCCACAATAGCGACTTATGACACCAGCGCGTACCATCTCGTACGGTTGCATACACGCGATACTCGAAGCGATGAGCGGGTCAACTGCATATATGCCATTTCGGCTGCGAAGGAGATGAGGGTGATGTGGAAGACACCGCTTCAAGCACGACGCAGCTCACGGTTGGTTCTTTGACTTCTTGATCGACTCCCACATGCATCCACAAGCATCCGTCTGCAAGAAGCTAATGAACAAGGTGTAGCATCTTTACAAGTACATATAGCAGGCAGTTCGTCATTCGTACACGCGTGAAGTCCCGTAAACATAGAATAGTGTAACTCGAAGAGCGGCAAAACACTGCGATGTATGGATGTTAGCGCGGGCTTGGGATCAATGAGTGATTAACGAACGGGTCATAACAGGTACGTGGTCACAACTACGCCTTCGAGTTCACATCGCAGGTCGCCAGAACGTACTCCGGAGGAGCCGTGGGATCTGGTATGCGGCCCTTGGTAGAGGACCCGTCGGGAGTAGTTGGCCTAGGCATATTGATCAGGAAGGAGAGCTGGGTCTTGTGATGAGTATCGGGGCGCTTCGCCGTATCTCCTGGATCAAGCTTAGCAGCAGCTAATGGCTGATACAACGCCACATCAGCTAAGTTCATCGGCAGGATCACAATACGAAACGCACCTGAGCGTCTTTCCAGGTCCATGAAGTGAGCCAGGGCGAAGTATCCTCCACAGCGAGTTCATAGTAAGCTGGGACACGGTTCTCGGCCGAGCGTAGCTCCGGGTACTCCTCCAGCATAAACCTGGCTACGACTGCATCAAGCCTGCGCCTGCGTCTTCGCTCCAGCATCCAACCGAGAGCAACGCATGGTATGACCGCAAGTGCGACAAAAAGATATTTGGACCCGCTCCCGAAGATGTTATTCGCCGAGTCGTCCACGCCTCCGTAGTTAGACATGGATATACGCCGGGTAGTGAGATGGTATAGGGCAAAGTGCGGCCGTTTCAGGCTGCTGTGGACGTCATGCGGCTCTGACGACCGCTACGTCGAGAGATGCGGGGTGCGATTGACGCCGTCGGATAAGCCTGCTACCCCACATCCTACTTTAAGTACTGCAGACCTCGTGGACCAAGATCAGATTCACTAAACCCCGCAGGAACGAACTCAAATTACGCCCAACGTCGTCGGTCAGCAGACCAACTTCAAGGGACGACCGTGAGTTCGTGAGTATATCACTACTGCCGGGTGGCCGGCATCTTAGCCGTATACCCAGCACTCAGAAAAGTACGGATGCTTGTCATGCAGTCATCTAGGACCGGGTGAAACGACATGGTGACGGTGAGAGGAAGAAGTCGAGAAGCCATCCGCGTTCGCGCGCGACGCGTCAAGGAATTGACTTGGACGCGTCCTTCATGGTGCGCGGACACTCTTTGCGCTTCATCTCTCGCCGAACATTCTCTACAAATACAGTCGCGACCGGTACACATGCCAAGCTACGCGAGCTACTCCGCGAAACGGCGCAGCCCGTCGCCGTAGTCACGTCCTTCATG